CAGGACATCCCTCCCTCTCCTCTGGAAGAATACCAGTAGACTAAACAGACATTGGTTAAAAGCATGCCTACTTTTAATACAACACCTTTTAATACACCTATACCTTAAAAGGTACAGCGACAGCCATACAATTAGCGGAAGAAAAAATGAATTTACCATATCTATGAAGACCAGAACAACCATCTTCAGAAAAGGACATACAGACCTCCCCACCTCCTTTTCCCAGAATACTTAAAAAAAATCCCATATTAAAGTATCTGCTTTCATGGCTACTAGAGTCTTTTTTTAAAAAAAATTTCCTTTCTAAAGAATTTTCACCCAAGAAAACGATTTGAGTGCATCTGAGAGTCTTTTTTAAAAAAACAAATCCAAGGTAAAATCAAGAGGTTCAGTACAGTTATCCAAAGACCGTTCACCAAATATATGCACCAGGATCATATTTTTTCATTATCGTGAAAGTAAACTAGAATGCATCAATGAAAAGAAACAGTACAGGATGTGACTACACGCAAAAGTATAAAGAAATTTATCTTGTAAATTCCCCTGGTGGTTCAGGAGTTGAGGGATCACAATTGCCACCCTGAGCAGACTTAGAGAACATCACTAGCGTGCATGTGTGTGTGTGAAGTTACCACGAGGATTCCTTCATGGTATCCACTGCCCTCCCCTACAAAAAATACTAGAGGAGATGTGGTACGAAATTTTGAAATCTTGCCATGAAAATAACAGTTATGCTTGGGAATCAATCACCGTCAAGGAACACAGACAAGTGTGGCAAGGACATTTTGTTGTTAGATTCGAGAATGATGAAGTTATGCACATGTTACCTGTTAGCACAAAAGCCAATAAACAAAAAACTTCACATTCATTAACTTACGCATTAAAAATGTGCAGTTTGGATTATGGACCCAAACAAACACTAGATGCATTTTTCTTGTTTTATTTTTATTTGGAAGTAAAAAAAGAGCAGAAGCGGAAAAAATGGAAGGGTTTGTGGAAGGCAATGGGAACTCAAAATAATGGCATGAGAACGACACAAACAGAGCACTTCCCTCATTATGACAATAAATACTCTCTTTTTTTCCTGGAAGCAGAATCAACTTTATTATCCAAGAAAAGCTACCTGCTTTGGCCATGAAGAAGATATAGAATTGTGAAGCTCCATGCGTTTAGCAGCCACATCTTTTAACCCTTCTTTTAATTTCAACTCATGATGCTTCTTTGCTTCCAATGTACTCACTAGTCTGTCCAGATATCTGGAATTCAGGATAGCACATTAGAATTAAGTATTACAACTTATCTTAAAGAAAAATGTGCCTATTTTTTTTATATTATTCTTTGGATGAAAAGAGCAGAGCTTGACCTCAAGACATCGCTCCCTCTCCTCTGGAAGAATACCAGTAGACTAAACAGAAATTGGTTAAAAGCATGCCTACTTTTAATACAACACCTATACCTTAAAAGGTACAGCCACAGCCATACATTTAGCAGAAGAAAATCAACACAAGCGGAAAAAAAATGAATTTACCATATCTACGAAGACCAGAACAACCATCTTCAGAAAAAGACCTACAGACCTCCCCACCTCCTTTCCCAGAATACTTAAAAAAAATCCCATATTTAAATATCTGCTTTCATGGCTGCTATACACCAAATGATTGTTTGCAGTGTAGGTCCACTTTCAAATTTTCAAAATTATAAAATGCATTAACAGATTCCTACAGCCTAATAACAAGACAAACAATTTCACTGGTTGGGCAGTTGATTACAGAGTTTTGCAATTCTCAAACAGTGACATTCATTGCTTGGTATTTTCAAGCCTTTCACCACATGCAATAGGAAGAATTATTTAGTGTTCATCACATGCTGACCCACAGTATCTTTTTCAAGTTTCAACACAAAAGGAAATTCCACTCAGCTTATCTCATCCATCCACTCTTCTACTTTTGCAAAACTATCATACATAAATTCTTTTGCAAACTTTGTTTAATGAGTAAATGGAAAAAACAACACTTGCCAAGCTGTAAATGATAAACCCGACTAACATTATCTATCAGTACCTTTTAGAGTTAAGAAGCATAATCAAGTCTCTTGTTTTCCCATTTGTCAGTAAAGAAATGGCCAAAGAAACATCAGATGACATTGTATGAATAGCATCAGGTGTATACTGCTGCAGCACCAAGGGAGCAACCGACTGGACTTGATGTTGCAAAGACATGGTCTCTTCATTACTCAACTCTGCCAATCTTTGACTCAAAAATGCTTTTATCTAAAATGAATCATTAATAGCAAATATCAACAATTAATCCAAAAATTGTAATCTAGTTTAAAATATAAGTAGAAACCAGGGAGTTCCTCAGGACTTTCTTAATGCTGGATCATCCATCTTAGTTCCCGAAGAAGAAGATACAAAATATTTACCAATACAAAATAACTTACTTCAGTAGCATTATCCAAACTGGCCTTACAATATGAAAAATTAGCCTATACCTCATATAAATCATCGAGAATTTTATTCCGATATTCTGTATCCAAAAGCTGGCTCCTGCCTTCCTTTATTCCCGGGGTGTGAGTTATAGTATCTAGAACATATGTCTGATTTTCCAAACCCATGTTTACCAAATTAGTGTCATTGATTGCATCAACTTGAGGTGTTTCAACGCTAATATCCCAACAAATTTCTGATACAGAAATCTCAGTATGAACATTTTCTTCCTCTTTTTTCAATGGAGCCTCACCAGATTCTACAGCTTCATTTTGTGAAGAGTTCTGCGAGATGTCACTGGCATTTACGATTTCATAAGGACCTAAGCCATTACCACCATCATCTGTTTCTTCTACAGTGCCAATATCCCAGTCAATATCAGCACCATCAACAGAAATATCCCAGTCAATATTATTGGCAGAAACATCCATGTCCCCTATCTCATGGTTTGATTCATCCAAATCCAATTGAATATTTGAAGAATCAAGGACCACGGGGTCAGCACAAACATCCAGAGAAGGAGAATTCTCACGAATATCTTTCAAGTTCAACAACACTGACCTCAAAGATTTCTGCAATTTTATGAAATTAATCAATACAATAAAATCCAATCTTCATAATAAAAACATAATTCATGCAAAGAAAAGAATGTTGCAATAATTATTCAAAAGAAAAACAAAAGGCCATCATCTTTACATCCTTTTCTGTATGAACATCTTTGACGAAGTTGGAATAGTACTCTATTGCCTGTGACATGATATCACTGTTTATAACTTCCAGAATTTTGCTAAATGTGCTTGGAAGTGATTTTGCAGTCTCTAAAAGCTCAACCCTCACATTGTTTCCCTACAGTGAGAAATAACACCACTTAATTCATTAATCACATATATCCATGTCTATACAATTTCACAACCATCACTGAACAAGGCCAATATCTCACTTGCAATCCAAGCTCTTGACAAGACTCAACATATTTAGTCGCAGAAAGAGCTGCACTTCTTTTTATATCAGTTTCCTTGCGCTCTAGCTCCGCTAGTAGTTGCTGGATCTTTTGCACCTGCTTTTTCTGATACGGACTTTGCATTCACAAAAATAAAAACCACATTAACAAAAAAGAAAATTCAGAACATTCTTCAACAAAACTATGGAGCCAACCAAACTGGAAGATGGCAAGCTTACATTTCATAATTCACATTTTGGATGATTATTTGCGCGGCTTCACCAAGGTAAACATAATCTTTCTCGAAAGAACGCACAATTGCCTCCCAAGCACCCTACAAAAAGATAGCAGCATTTCATCAACAGAAATATTAAAAAACAAAAAAAAAATGCACACCGAGAGAGACAGAGAAAGATAACTAACTTACAGCAGCACCTGATAGCCGGCCAAAAATGTTACGGCTTTCTGGATTCGATTTCATAAGAATTTCATAAATATTTTTAGCCTCTAAGTACCCTATCCCTGTAAATAGTGATGGTAGTGTCAATTTAGTAATTATGAACTCGGTAAATCAGGACTATACAGATTAACGAAACGAACCTAACCTTCAGGGTCTAGGGTTTGGAAATAGGGATCGATTTCTTTGGGGAGCGAAGCGAATTCTTTTGAAATCCGAGCTCTTATTGATGCCATTCGTTTTCTCCAATCGGCAGGGATTCGTTTTCGATCAACAAGCCATTCTTGAGTATAAAAACGACGACGAAATTAAAGAAAAACGACAGAGAATGAGAATACGAAATCAAGTAAAGGAGTTGAAATTTTACCTCCGAGACGAGAAAATGAGATGTCGATTGGAAGATTTCGGATGTCATCGGGATTCTGCATTTTTATTTCGAAATTGAATTGCTTTCTCGAAAATTTGTGGAATTGAAATCAAATTCAATTCTTTGTTTCGGTGCTTTGGGTGCAGAGTTGGATTTTTGATTCCTGAGTGAATGCAGTTTGCGTGCGTGCTGCTACTAACTTAAGCCCTCCTGTTTTTTATTTTTATTTTGGCACGTTATGTGGTTCCGGGTCGGGTCAAAAATTTGATGGAGCAAACGATGACTGCTCTGAGTGAAATGACTAGAACCCTCCTCTAAACTTGATAAATCACAGGCTTCGTCCCCGTCGATTTAAATTGCCCAAAAAATATAATTAAAAAAAATTATACTTCGATGAAAAAAAGTTCGATAGGAAAGAGAGTTTTTGTCAAATTAGAGCTTGCAAGAATGCCCAAACATAAATCTACAATTCAAATTCCATCTTTCATGTTTTAACTTAAAAAAGGGTAAAAAGTTCATAAATTTCTCTCTCTTTTTTTTTTTTTTCACTATCAACATAGGAAGATGATCCTACACATATTCATACAATTTAATTTTCTTTTCTTTTTTTCACTATCAACATAGGAAGATCATCCTACACATATTCATACAATTTAATTTTTTTTTATTTGAAAAATTAAATAAAAGGCTAAAATATTTGTTTTTACAATAATAACTAATTACTTTACAAATCTAAAAGAATTAAGTTTTTTTATGGATCTCTACTTTTGTTCTTACATAAAAAGTTATTTTTTTGATTTTTTTATTTTGATTTTTTTAATTTTATTTTTTTCTAAGTTTTATCCTTGAATATTTTTTAATAATCATTCAAGTTATTTTTAGATCAACTTGTTTCTATTAAAATTTTTTTTATATAATTTAATTTTAAACTCAATGATTTTTTATAGTAATTTCATTATTTTAATTTAGTATTTAATTTTTTTTAACTAATCAAGCGAGTTATTATTGGACCACACAAATCAATTATATTATATCAAAATAATTTTTTTATAGTTAAATTTTAAATCTATATCAGGTAAAGAGTTGAGATATATTTTTCAAGTTAATTTTATTATTTTTTTCTTATTTTATCTTTAATTTGTTTTACCAGTCAACTAGATTATTTTTATATCAATTAAAGTTGATTGAGTAATATTAAATAAATTCCATATAACTGAATTGTAAAATCATGTTAGATAAAAAATAAAGTTAAAAGTTGCAGGGTTAATTTGATGTGTTGCATTTAATAATAATATAAAATAATTTTTATGATTTAAATAATTTTTATTATATTTATATATTTTTTTATCCAATTCGTAGCCTAATGTGTCCTATAAATTAATATTAACAATTATCAATTGTAAAAACAAATATTTTATCAAATAAAATAACATAATAACAAGTAACAATGCTCTCGTTATTGCTTATCCTTTTTCTGTTATATATAAGTTTATCATACATTTTACAAAATATATTATTTCAACATTAACGATACTCATCTTTAAATTGTATACTTGCTGGAATGTTAAGATATCTCCGTAAACAAACAAAATCAGGCGTAAACACATCATCTCTTTAAGTTTTAAATTTTATGCTAGAATATAAGATATCTATTAAACAAACAATTACATAAATAAATAAATAATCTTCAAATAAAATGAACCGTTAAAAGCAAATATTTGACAAGAGGGAGGGTAATCTGGTAAATATGGACTAAGCTAGCTGACGTAGGGACACAAGCAATAGATGATGATTCCGACTCCCCCAAAATCTCCACTCTTCTGTGCAGTTCTCCCTCTCCTTTGCTTCCTCGAATAGAACAGCAATCAGAAAAGTAAGTTTCAATTTTTTGAGATCTAATTAGCAAATCAATTAGCTCTCCAATTCGCTTTTATCCATCAATTATTAATTTCTCTAGGGTTTACTATAGTTTCTCAAATCTGATTTTGCCTTGCCTGATTTCACTTATCAAGCAGTCTCTATATCATCTGCTTCTCATTTTCTTCTAACTAATAAGTGATTTCAACTGGCCCATCAATTTCTCTTGAAAGATCAATTTTTTTTTATAATGTGGTGGGAAATGCTAACTTTTGGTTCTGTTTGTGATTTTGGGGTGGGACGCAGTTAGAATATATTAGTGATGGATCCATCAGAAAAGAGGTATTTGGAGGATGATGATACTCCGATGATGAAAACTATCAAGGGTGCGACTATGGGTTTGGTCTCCGGAACTATATGGGGGACTATTGTTGCAACTTGGCATGATGTGCCTCGTGTTGAGAAAAGTGTTGCGCTTCCTGGATTGATAAGAACAATCAAGATGATGGGTAACCATGGCGTGACTTTTGCTGCTATTGGTGGTGTTTACATTGGTGTTGAGCAGCTTGTGCAGCATTATAGGATGAAGAGAGATTTTATTAATGGAGCTGTTGGTGGTTTCGTTGCTGGATCTACCATTCTAGGATTTAAAGGTAAGGATTATTGTTACTTTGTATTGATGCTTTTTTTTATGTTGTTTCATTGTTAGAGTTATCAAGCATGACAGTGTGTGGCTTGGTGTGGAAAGCAGTGCATTGAGAAATTTGATCTTATGTAGATGTATTCTATTGACGTTTCTTTTAACTTACCCTGAAGCAAAACTAACTTTTCAAATTTTGAAAACTTGCTTTCTTTCTTGAGAGATTTACTGTTTCTTTAATGGACACGGTAAAATTATATATGTGCCTTGATCCTACTGGCCATCTTTGTTAATGAAGCAAATGAGTGGTAACAGATATTGTTTTGCTTCATGACTGGTGAGTGGTAGAAGACATAATTTTGCTTCACGTGTGGTGAGTGGTAGAAGACATATCAAGTGTAGTGGGTTTTAAGCTGGAAAATGCCTTTGATTAGCTGATGGGGAAACTGCTACAGAATGGAACTTAAGTTGATTAGAATGAACATATGGGCATCCTGGTACACTAGTAACTTCATGCATCATTGCCCCATTGTATCTTTTTGAGGTGTTTTCATTTCGCATACTGGATAATTGTGAACTTTTATTTTCCAGAGGAAAAGCATTTGTTTTCCTGAGCTATGGTTTCTTTTTTTGTCACTTGCATAATCTGGTGTTTATAGTGCAACCAATTAGAAATGCCTGCATATAGGACCTAGTACTTACAGAGGATGCAAATTGGTGGATCTGAAGCTTCATCTATCTAGAGGGGATCTGAAAGGGAACTAAATATAGTATAGGATGCTGTAAACTGGTCTAGAGTTGAGGTTCTGTGATTTTGGTTTGAGAGTTGACATAATGGAGCTGTGGGTGGTTTGTTCGCAAGAGCTCCTGTACAGGGCTTCAAAGGTGAGGGTTATTGTGTGTTATTTTTATCTGTCTTTGTTAGCGCCATTGAGCTTGGTTGCAAGAGCTTCCTGAGGAAAGTATTGCTTAGGAAATTCAATTGCATATTGATATATTTGATCAATATTTCAGTCCAACTTGTTGGGTAGCAAAACTAACTCTTCAAAGTTTCTAAGCTTGCTTTATTTATTTATTTATCAAGAGCTTTCTTTTATTTTGAGAGTGGTGAGAGAGTCATATTTGTAATTCTACTATCTACTGTCAAAGGAGATAAAAGGGCTCTATAAAAATCTTATATGATGTAATTAGTGGATGAAAAGGCTGCTATTAAAAGTTTGGTGACTGAAAAATATGTTTCCTAAGCAGCTTGAACATGTCTTTGATTTGTTAGGCAAGCTATTTCATTCTGGAATTTTGTGCTGGTTGTATGCTGTGTATCCTAGTCAGTGTTGCAAAGGCAAAAGATGCTAAAAAGCGCCAAGCCTGAAAGATGCTTGAGGTGCATGCCCAAATGAGCCAAAGCTCTCAACCTCTATGATATACAAATTTATATATGATATAACTTAGTAGAAATCTCGGCAGCATAACAGAAAAGAGAGAAGGAATAACATGGAGAGTCAGTTGTTCTTAAGTCTTCACTCAAAAAAGTGAAGAAGAGAGAAATTAAGAAACAAAAAGATGAGATGGCAGAAGAAAAAACGTTCAAGGAATGCCTCTGTTGTTCATCAGTTTTCACTCTTGACTCTTCTCTCTTCTTTTCTGGTGGTGTTTCACCTTTGTTTCTGCGTTATTGGTAGATATTATCCTTTTGAGGCATTTATTCCCATGTACTGGATAAAGTACTTTTATGTTTCAGTTTCCAAGTACTGTATAAAGAAGAACTTTTATGTTTAAGAGAAAACAGTTAATTGGTTATGAGGTTTCCTTGTTTGTCACTTGCTTAATCCTTGAGTTTATAGTGTGAGCCATTATAAATGACCATATATATCCTATAGAATCTCATATTTGTGGAGTGGATGTGGGTGGATTTATTCTGGACTGCATTAATCCGATGGGGATTTAAAATGGAATAACCAAGAGTTGGATATTAAAAACTAGATCTTAGTATTGAAGTTTTGTGTATTTGTTTGATGCTTTTTAACCTCTTATGAACTTGACAAATCTAGTTATTAATCAACCTTAATCTTTTTATTGATTCAGTTTATTACAAGAAATTTTTTGTGGTGGTCATACATACTCAATATTGGCCTTTTAACCTTGTGAATTTGTCAATGGTGGCAATAAGTAAACTGGAGACAGCAGTAACGAAATTTTAATGTTTTTCTTTTCCATTATTTATACCATCTCTAGATTTGCACAAATTAGCTTATTTTCAATCATCATTGGTACGGTTATCCTTCCTGAATTCATGTGCTTGAGAAAAGAAATTGATTTTCTATCTTTCCTCAGAATTTTGGAAAATAAAAGGTGAAACAATAATGCTGATAAATTCTAGATGGGATGGAAGACTGTGTTAGGGAAATGGATATGAGGCTAATAGGTTAGTGGCTCAGAATTCCCAGGTTTCGTGGTTCATGTCAGAGAGAAAATATCTGATCTGAAGAAAAAAACACTTGTAAAAGTCTTATCTTCAAACATCAGAAGCAGTTGATCCTTCAAATCTACTAACATTTTTTTTTGTTTTGTTTATCGTGAGTCCGTGATAAAAGATATTAGTTAATCTTTGGCAGCCCCCTCATTACTTCCAACCCTAGAGATTTTGAAGGCTGGCATGTATATTCCATGCACATGCATGTTCCTTCGAGAAATGGGAGGGGCTGGGAGAGATCATAATTTTAAATTTTCAAAGTTCATGTTAAATTTTGCAATCTCTCTTCTTGTGGTCTTATATTATGAACTTATGTCTGAATGATGTTTTTTTTCCCTCCCATTTCTTGGTCTTAAATTAGACGATTTCAAAGAGCATACAAGTTACCTGTTCATGGTCTGGTCTTTTTTAGCACATGATTGATTTTCTGCTGCATGCTAGCCATGTCTGTTCTGCCCTCCTGTTGTGTTGAACTGTTATGGTTGCTACATGATTCAATTGATTCCTTACCCGTTTGCAGGAAGAAACATAAAAAATGCTATTGCTGCTGGAGCAGCGCTTGCTGTTACTTCTGCAGTCATTGATGCTGGAGGTCAGACCACGAGAATGGACACTGGCAAGGAGTATTATCCTTACACTACCAAGAAAAGATCTGCGGTTGAGGGATAGTTTTTCAACACTGTTGGCAAAAATGAAGATATTGGCAGGTTGATGGGAGAGTGGTTATAGATGTATGCTGAATTGCCTGTATGTTTTTGGAGATGAAATCATACTCGTGGATCTTCTTTTCTTGAATTTTACCTTGAGGTCTGGATGGATGATTTGAATAAACATGTTTCGGCAGTTTAGTCACTGTTACATGATTATTTTTTTCCCAGTTTGAGACAACTGCTTTTGTCATTAACCAAATCGAAACAGATACAACAATAATGGTTAAGCTACTTCTGAAAAGTGGTAGAGGTGTGATTTACATAATCATCTTTCCCATTATGCAAACGTAGCAAAAACCTGGGAGTTTTTTTATTCAAATTATGTGATTTCTTATGGAGTACAGTTTCCATCCTACTCGATATTCATAATTTTGTCTGAGAGCCATCAAAACAGTACATGATGGATAGTTGGATACAAAAGGCGAGCTTGTATCTTTTAATTGATCCTATCTAGAGTTTTTCGTTGATTCCAGATTCAAACAACCTGAATCATCGGTACATAGCTTTTTTAAACAAGCAGCAGAATCTTACAATTTACATGATTCAAAATAGAGAGTGCAAACTTATCATCTTACTCCATGAACGTTGTGCAAGATGGCAAGACGCTGAGAGTGAACAAGACTGCTGCTTACAAACGAGAGAACTTCGAATTCACAGGGAAGTGTGGAACTAGAATTGGTGCTCGAACATCTGATTCAATGAAATTTGACCTGAGAGGCTGCCTCGCCGCTCCAAGCACTCCATCACTGGCTACGCGAGTAGGCCGATAAAAGCAGCAACAGATGGACGAGAAGAACCCCATTTCGACCTTCCCTCTGCGAGTGATGCAAGTAATTTGATTTCACAAACTTTTCGTTGAACTTACATGACTGGTGCTTAAAGCAAACAACCATTCTTATCCATAAGTTCTATTAGTCAAGAACTCGTGTCAGTGACTACACTTTTAGAATTGCGACATGAATGACTGGAATGGAGGTTGACTAAAATGTTTTTTTAAAAAAAAAAATTATTTAAAATTAATATTTATTTTGTGTTTAAAACAAATTATTTAAAATTAATATTTATTTTGTGTTTTTAAATTATTTTAATATGTTGATGTTAAAAATAAATTTTAAAAATAAAAAAAATATTATTTTAATATATATTTTTTATAAAAAGTAATTAAAAAACAACTATTACCTCAGTTTTAAACATCCAAAATTCTCATCAGTCAAATCACAACTTTGAACTATTTGTAATAACTCCTTTTGGTCTATCGTTGTTGATAATTGTTTTTAACAAGTTCGTCGGAACCTAAACCTACCAGTCAATCAGAAAGATAAGTGAAGAATGCAAATTAAGAGAAGTTAAATAAAAAGATCCGTATTCAGTGAAAACTTGGCAGGAAAATTTGCACTCATCACTGGAGTATCTTCTAGCATTGGTGAGGTCGGTATTAATCTCATAAATATCTCTAGAGTTTGAGGGATTTTTCCTAGTAAGGTTTTGCGGTGTTGATATAGTTGTCGTCGTCGTCTGGTGGCCATGATTAGCATCTAGTTTATGAGTACGCGAGTAGAGGAGCTCGTTTAGCCCTTGCTGCAAGAAGAGAGGCTAGACAATCTTGGATTAGTGGCTGATAAAGCCCGAAAACAGGGATCACCGGATTCTTTTTGTGGTTTGTGCGGATGTTGCCAAGGTTGAAGACTGCAAACGAATTGTTGAGGAGACATGGAACCACTTTGGCCAACGTAAGCATGCATGCATAAACTAGATTTTCTTGTTAAACAGAAAGTATCCTTGAGCTAGCCTGTTTGAGTAAACTGAATGTTTCTCATTTGTTTTGAAGAATTAGCAGTGCAGCAAGAATTCTCGATACATTTTCGTTTAGATTTCTGCATGTTTGAATTTCACATGATGGTGTGCACAAATATTAAAGCCTGAGCATAACTAACTGGAGTAGTAAGAATTTAGCTGTGTTGTGGCTTCACAAGACTTTTTGCGATGACAGCAATAAGCTTTTAAGCTGCATAATTAATCATGGATTTTAGGTTCTATGCAACAGTGGATCATCTTGTTAAGAATGCTGGGATTGCTGCTCCGTCTTTGCTCTTCGAAGATTGAAAAGAAGTCATTAATTGGGCTCCTATAATTGTATGTATCATCAGTAAAATCCAATGTTACCATAGAACCATGAATATTTCTAATTGTTTTGTCTTTGAAGCCGTCTCCTTGATCTCGTCAAGCAAAGCCTTTATCTACGTGTCTAGCCATTTTTCCACTTCAAAACAAGGCCTTTTTCTGATGTGAACTTGGGGGTGATGGTTTTTTCCTTCGACTGTCTTTGCTTGATTAAAGAGCTGCTCACCTCCTTTGTGTGTGTAGATTTTTATGAATGTTTGTTTGTTTTTATATTTTAAAAGTATTATAAAAAAATTAAAAATTTTATATTTTATTTGATTTAAATTAATATTTTTTATATTTTTATTTTATTTTCACGTGTTAATATTAAAAATAAATTTTAAAAAATAAAAATATATTATTTTCATATATTTTTAAGTAAAAAATATGATAAAAAATCTTCACTATTGTAATACTAAAAAAATTCCAAGTAAAAATGACAGTTATAAAAAATTATAAATGTTATGGCAAACACACTGCAATAAAAATTATTGTGCCTACTCTCATATTTCTTTGGGGATTCATTGTTATATAGTCCCCACTCTCGTTTTCCAACATTTATGGAGCTGGCTAATTAATTAAACTGCAATGGAGTGTGGTGTATTAATGGCCCGTGATTGGATTCTCTACTGGATCACTTCTTAGGCTTATATTCTTTGGGCTAGGCCCAATGTTGAATGCACATTTTTTCTTATACAAAGGAAAAATGAACCGAATTAACTAAAAGAGCCGGGAGATCTGGAAATATATCCCTTCTGCGGTGCCACGTGGCAGAGACCCATTGCCTCTCCCAATTTCATGAGGCCATGCCAGCAAATCAACTGATACTCGAAGTTGCCAAGACAGAAACAGAGACAGCGAAAGAGAGTTGGAGATAATCAAGCAGTAGAACTGCAAACCAAGAATGGCGGGAATAGCTACTTGTGCTTTAACTCTCTCCTCAAGAAGGTAATATAAATTGTTCTCACTTTTTTTTAGCACTTTTTTCTACTATGCAAATCCACAGCCTTTTTATTTATAATTTCTTTAAGAATAGGCAGCATGCATGCTAATATGGTTCACTTTTCCAATAAAAGTTTTCAAAAAGAAGATGTTTTGGTTTGAAAGCTTAAGATTAAGAAGTTTATTGTTGAATTCTAGATGTTGCCTTGATGTGTAGAACATTACAAAACAATCCCAACCTTTCTTATGTTTCACTACTCCTATTTCCCACTTTGGTTTTGAAGATTCATGGGATTTTGGAAAAACATTGATTAATCCAAAGTTTTTTTTTTTTTTGTCCTCCTCCTTTGGGTTTCCGAGTTTCAACACTATTGCAGCCCAACTATTCAAATGATCATGTCGCTCTTGGAGACTAAATATAGAGGAAGACTAATAGTCTGTCTGTTTATAGTATATTTTTCTCAAGAGCCGAAGGAGATTTTGGACCTTTTCTTGTATTTTGTAGCTACAAAAAAATTGCCTGAAATAAGTGAATGCACGAGTAGATGAAAAAAAAATTATTCGACATTTATAGAAGTGAAATAGATAATTATGAACACGGGAATAAGGGATTGTGGGTGTGATTTCAGTAATTTCGGGACATCTTGGTTGGAATTTGACACTCATCATAGAAGAACCATCCGGGGAAAACCAAAACGTTGGAGAAATTTTGGAATTAGAGCAGAAGTGAATTTTGTGAATCCAGATGAAGCAAAGAAACTTGTAACGGATGAGGGATATGCTGTGCTTGACGTACGAGACAAAACTCAATATGAACGAGCTCATATAAAATCATGCTATCATGTTCCTCTTTTTATCGAGAACCAAGACAATGACTTTGGTAAAACCTCTTCCTTTGTAGTTTCCATTGCTGATTTATGTTCTTGTTTGTTCATTCCCTTAGAATAATTTTCTGCAGGTACAATAATAAAAAGAACTGTGCACAACAATTTCTCCGGTTTGTTCTTCGGCTTGCCATTTACTAAGCTCAATGATAAATTTGTGGACTCTGTGCAGAGTCAGCTTTCACCTCAAAGTAAACTGTTAATTGTATGTCAGGAAGGATTAAGGTCAGTTATTGTTCTGCCACTGATGGCATGACCAAATAACGCAGAAGTATTTTTCAATTGGTATTTGCTCTAGGAATTTTGCTGTGCATATTTTTATAGTACCAGTTTGAGGGTCCTTGAATTAAGAGATTCAGAGAAGCCGCAATTGTGTTTCGTTTGGAGTTCTGTTATTTGGTGTCCCTTTTTATGATATAGATTTTCGTGGAATGCAGCAGTGTAGATAAATAGAAAGGTGTAAATTCTATCAAGGAGTTTAATTCGGTGATATGTCAAGAATATATGTCTTTAATATATAGATTGTTTATATGTTAAGAGCCCAGAAATGTTTTAGAGTGAACTTAATTTCTTAGAAAGTCTGGAAGATGAAGTTCAAGATTCCATACCACAGTTAGGTCTCCTGTAGTTCAAAATCTTCAAGCAAAACCATTGATAGCACAGGTGAGGAGATGTTTGATTGAAGTTGCTCTAGAAGAGGGGCATTCGATAAGAAATTAGTAACGGGGAATAGAGAGATGACAAAATGTTTTCCTGGTTACCTATCTTGGGGTCTGAAGATCCATCATGGCGTAGAAATTAGTTTTTACTCATAATTTTATCTCTCCTTGTGCTTCCTAAGTTCTTATCCAATCATTTTCTATTGAGAGATAGTATCGCGGTTTTCCAGTGTAACTTGCAGCACCATATCTCCTCTCTTATCACTTAAGTTTTTCATGGTTTCACTGTTCTGAACTTGCCTTGCCTGGAAACTATATGACACGACTCAGTTTCCTTTTAATGTCAAGGTCTACTGCTGCAGCCAACAAATTAGAGGCAGCTGGTTTCAAGAATGTAGCATGTGTGACATCAGGGCTTCAATCTGTAAAACCAGGTTAAAACTCTGGTGCCAACCCTTCTTTGTCAAGCAAAGCAGTTGTAATGTATGCAAAGCAAGGGAAACGAGGGTTTTATTTTTCTTTTTGTTCAGGAACATTTGATTCTGAAGGTTCTACTGAGTTGCAAGATGCTGGCAAAGCTGGTTTGATCACAATTCAAGGCAAGATCTCAGCAGTACTTGGAACTGTACTTATCTGTAAGTCCAACAACTTGTAGAGCTTACATGATGATGTTGTTGAGCCCTTACAGCAATTCCTCCTTTCTGACTATCTAATGCGTATAGGTGCATATCTGTTCATCACCTTCTTCCCAGAGCAAGCAGAAAAGCTGCTTCAACTAGCCCCGTCGAGCTAGTTAGCTAGTCCTTTTGATAATCTCAAGTTTTGCAAGTGTAAACGGTGACATGATCCAGGGAATGTAGGTGCTCAATTCCAGCAGCACAATATCCTAATGAACAAGAGAGAGAAGTTAAGGACGTTGATTCAGGTCGGTGGTCATGTAAATTTTTTTAAGATTAAGCACATCGGAAATTAAGAACCAACAATGAATTTCCAAACCTCGCGGATTCGTTCGTCTACCATTCATGAACAGCTTTGATATGAAAATTAGAACGCTGGACAGTCTTCACAAATTACAGATTGTTCTTTATTATTTGAAAAGGAAAAATAATTGTGATGTAGAATGTTTTTAAAAGTGTTTTTTAATATATATATATAACATGCTACATCAAAACCATTGAAAAAACACTTAAAGCATTAATTTGATATTTTTTCAAAAAAAATATTAAATAGACATGTTATAACAAAAAACAAGCACATTAAAAATTAAGAAGGGCAGAGTAAAATGCATACTCTAACAAATCATCTATAAATTGAAGATCATTAAATCCATCAAAAACTATTGTACATTTCCTACTTCTGCCCAGTGAAAAACATACCACGCAGTAAAAATGTATAGCTGAGAACCAGAACAAAATTGAAGGCATGCTTTCACTTTCTATGAAAGTTACAATTTTTAACCCGCCAATGTTGCCATATCAACAGTGTCCAAGATCCCGTCTCTTACTCAGCAGCAAACACAAGACCCTCGTACCAAGAAATAACTCTGATTTCATATTTCATTTAACATCGCAGTCCATTTACCAAAAACAAATTACTTAATATTTTTTAGTGTTTTTTTATTATATTGAGATATTCATGTTAAAAAAAAAATTATTTTCATATTTTTTTCAAGTAAAAATCACTCTGCAAAATAACTTCTGACAGTACATATATTAGAACCAACTAAGCATGATTGTGAACCTAAATCAACAACTATTACAGTCAAATTTCCTTTCCAAAAATTATTACAATTAGATTAGCATAGACAGCGCATTTTAGGCACCAATGTTACCGGATAAATGTCCACTGCAAAGAATCAAAGCGCACAGGGTTGATTCTCTGATACCTCTATCTACTACCAAATAAGGATAGATGTCCACTCCGAATTATCAAAGTAAATAGGGTTGATTCTCTGCTGCCTCTGTCTACGATACCATTGAAACAGAAACAACACGAAAAAGCTTCCAAAACCATCCTTGATTGCACCCGAAGTCATCCTCGATGGCACCACATAATCATCCATCATTTGACATCAATCGCCTTGTAGGCAGTAAAGCTGTCTGACATTTCCTGAAGCTGTAGCATAATAAAGCGATGACAACTCAATATTTTACAATTGTTAGCAGAAACATCTTATAGGTTTGTTTTACTATACACACAGTTTCACATTCAATAACATACAGTAACAAATGCAGAGTTGCTAAGTATTGTTAGGTTTATAATCTATAAAGGATGAAGTGAGTACAGACAAGTATTGTTAGGTCTGGGACAAGCACTTCCCCACTTAAACCCAGGATGAGATACTTCCAATTCTACTTTTCAAACCTTTTGATGAAATTTCACATAAACCTAATTTGAACTTCAATAACATCATAATCTTATCCTAGATCCCTCGAACAGCGGATATTCCATTCAGCAAACAAACTTGATTGAAAAGTAGACCCCATGATCAAAGCTAATACATTTCCTCAAAAACTAATAAACCGTGTAAGCTATAACACTATGAATACTGAAAAATAATATTCTATTATGTTTTATGATCAGTATCAATGAACACGGATATGCAAATGATTAGAATATCTTTGCATCATGTTACAAAGACTGTTAGCATAGATGTGTAAAAAATCATATTCATGAATAAAACTAAATGAAGGAAACAAGATGCTTATATACTTGCATACACCTACACATATTTGTGTGTGTGTGCGCGGGCGTGTGTCTCCATCTATCTGTACGTGTAGGTCTATTCGTATATGTCAACTTTTGATTTCAGAATATTTTACACATATTTGTGTGTGTGCGCGCGCGCGTGTCTCCATCTATCTATACGACTATACGTGTAGGTCTATTTGTATATGTCAACTTTTGATTTCAGAATATTTGAGAAGTTTATGATGGTTGAATCAAACATCTACATTTCTAGCATATTACTATATTAATGAGGAAATAACAAGAACTAAGGTAATTATTACCATATAACCAGTCTTTAAATAACAGGTGGAGTGCACTTGACAATTCTCGCTTTTGATTTTCTTCAAGAGGAGCTTCCCTCAATAATTTCTTTGTCTCTGCCAAATTCTTTTGCTGGAAAAGATAAAGAGGCGTTACACATAATCGAACACCAAAAACTAGCAATTTTAATATGCTGGCAAGGGAACTCATGGACTATAAGCAGCTCTAAAAAAAATAAAATTGTATAGCTCTCCTATCATCTTATTATAAATGATTCTCCAGGAAAGATCATCTTGTTATAATCAGTTTGAGTGCTAGTCCACGTACATTTCTCTGCTGAGATGCCATGTAAGCCTCGGGTAATTGAAATGGATTGTCTTTGGTTGACCCTGGAGATTCAGCTCCAAACCAATTGGGAATCTGTTAAATCAGGACGGGGAAAATGCATGTGAATGTTTTCAAAAGTAAAATTAACCCAAAAAGAAACATGAAATTCCATGTGATGGATGTTCAAAAAGGAAGAGAAAGTGACCCCAGTCAATAATACCCAACCTCCATCCCCAAAAACCCAAGGGGCAAAAAAAAAGAAAGAAAAAGAAAAGAAGTACAGGTAACAACATAGAATGCAAAAGAAGTAAAAACAATAAATGATAATTTCAAATAATCTGGAAATCAAACTTCACATACTTGCAGAAGATCAAATTAAAAAATGTGAGATTCAACAGAAAATAAATAGTGAAATCAACAAAGGTGTTTAAACAAACAAACACACCAATTTTCAGTAAATTAAAAAGAGAATGTATAAATTATACCAGAAAGTTCGTGAATTGGTCAGGGTCTACCCGCGCAGCTGGTTCAGCTTGAAAATCAGAGACACCAGCAGGGTGGGATAATGAATCATGGGGATCAACCACTCCCAAGGCCAAAGTTTCATCCCATCTGTTGATGGTTGCGTCAATGCCTGCATCAGCCATGTGCTCCTCCAACTCTGAATAAAATGTATTATACGGTGCCACCTAATTAAAATTTAACAGAATGCTTATAGTGTCAATCTTCATTAGTACTTGAAAAATATAAGGCAGAAAGGATGTTCAATTATAGCCAACGAACTGCTTAATAGGATGCAAAAGTACAGAGCAAACTGCTTAATAGGATGCAAAAGTACAGAGGTTTCATTTTTTTCAATAAACAAATCACATCATAGCAGTACGCATGTGTTCAAGAGTACGGTTAAAGAGTTCAGCTTGTGCACATCTCCCTTTTGCAGGCCCACATCTAGCAATAACCAATACAATAATATACCAGCAAATTGCAAAAGGCTCCAGAACTAAATTAATTTAATCACCAAACTTAAAAAGAATCTAGAAAACCACATTGAGGTCCAATCATGAGTAAATTTTCTTTATATTCAAAACCAGACATGAGAGGTATGTGGACACTTGCATCACCAAGAAACTTCTCTCCTCTGTAAGTCTGTAATTTACAACGCAGAATATTATAACAGCCATGACAGCTAACAGTTTACGGCACAAAAAGAGGATGGTCAAAAGCTCACCTGTAGCTTATGGTTATCACCAACAATTAGTGGTCGTTGATTTACCCCAAGAAAGAACACACATTCACGACAATTGGCAATGCAGACTCGTTTAGCTGCTGTAATAACATGAACTCGCTCACAATGTTCAATCCTTACAGCCTGTAAAAGACATTGAAAGACAAACACATCATCATTTTTGTACCTAGAAATAACCCATAACCCTCAACATGAGTTGATGAAGGCACACGCTACAAGGCTAATCACTCACCAAGAGTAATGGCTACTAGGAAAAGATACAGCAGTTGAAGGAATGTGGAAAGGTACACTCTCCATATAGAATATTGACAACTACAGATTCCTTGTTAAATATTATTCACATAAATATCAAGTGGTACATCAACACATGAAGAGTTAATAAGAACTACAGATGCTAAACGCAATAGATGATAATGCCATACACACTTGCACATACACTCATAGACAGCAATGTGGTGAAAAATCAATTGTTAAGAAATTTATACCATTCGATTTCTCATTTAACAAAGGAGGTACATTTGGTCACTAAACCGCAAGAGAAAGATTTCCAGCAGATATGAACACTAGGTGACTGAAACAGTCAGTACTCACAAAAACCAAGTGTTTGTTACTACCTTGCCAACAGCTCCAAGGACTATAGTAGCATCAGAGCATCCATAAATGGTAGCATATCTCAAAGGTGCTAAGATGTAAAGGATGGAATCATGGCAATTCAGAACCTGCAAACACACAACAGTGTCAAAATGGCCAAAAAACAATACAAACTTGAAGCATAAAAATTTTAAACTATGCTGCATGGACAAAGCAAGCAAAGAAATGTTCACCAAAACAATGGTCAAGGAAGGGCTCTTTTCTCTTCATGAGATCGTAACACATGATAGCATATCAACATTGTATGGTGCAAATTGGTTCAGACAACACATAAATCTCAGAGAAGCCAGGCATATCCATGACCAAACTTCATAAGCAAATTCATAAAGTCAAATCCCATCAGCATTACAAGCTAATCTAAGTTTTAATGACGCGATTTGCATGTTAACATACCAAGGATTAAACCTGCCATGCATTTTAAGGGAAAAATACATGCTTTTAAGTCAAGCAGAATTGTATTGAACTAGGCTCAAAAATCCACCACATATCCTTAACAATCCCTGTTAGAAGCAATAGCTTCAAATTGAGAAATGATAAGTTCACAAAAATGCTATCTGGTTATTTTCATGAAGGAACAGAGATGGGACGATGAATATCCATTACAATGCTAACCTTTACAGAAGAAGAACCTTTAAGATCTGATGCTTGCTTTACAAATGATGACTTGGAGATCCCCTCGATAAAACATGAACCCCTAGCACTAGGTGGGGTCTTGATAGAACTTGTACAGGCATCAGTCATGGCTACATCAGAATCAGATGAATTGGCTGGCCCATTTTCTTTTGCAGAAATTCTTTCAGTAATATGTTCCAAAGCAGATGCTATATTCTGTGAAATCCAGTCATGGACTTGTGTAGCAGGAGCAGGAACGGCAGGCATGTCTGGATCTGAATTGGCAAAAAATGGGGCAGCTTGGCTTAAGGTAACTACTTCAGATCCTTTGTCACCAAATTGAAGAAGAAATCCAAGGTGCTCGAATCCTTCCATAGACAAAACCTAATAAAGCGCAGTTAAAGTAGCAAATTAAAACCAGATGAAAAAGAAACCAACAAGCAGAAAACAAATTATGAAGACACCAAGAGATCCAAGCATTAATATGTGTCAATAAAATTTCACAACTTTGCCTTAAAACATTTACCAAATCATATTTATTCTGGAAATCTACTTTCATGAGGAGAAAGTTATAATGCCTAGAGCATGCGTGCAAAACATATAAATGTTCCTATTTAACCAACTACTGAGAAATATTTTTACAAACCAGAGACTCTTCTCCTTCTCCTTCCCCTTCCCCTTCTCCTTCCATAGGCTCTCCCAAAAGAGAGAGAATGTTAGCCATGTGCTACCTTCCACAGGCTCTGCCAAAAGAGAGAGAATGTTAGCCATGTGCTTTTGCAGGTAGGACAACTGATGAGCCTCTTCATCTGCCTGCGATGGCATAAACCGGCGGTTGTTGCTACGCACAAGCTGCAATCAAAGAAACAACAATTAAAAATCAACATAAACAAGATACAATCAAAATTTAAACACCAATTTCAGATTTTGGTTGAAGTAGACTAAATTAGATTCATGCAAACAAAACAAAATTTAATCCATACAATTTGGAGATTTTTCAAACTAGGATTGGTTTGCAGCATTCTAAACATCAAAGGCATTAGCAAAAGTTGACGAATCTAAGATTGCAAACTATTAGAGAACCTATCCCAAATCGAATAAATAAACAATAGATGATTAATATATAAAGCTGAGAATGCCACAAGGCTTGAGTCTTTTGGATGGAACTCAAACTCAACTATCTAATTTAGTACAAATAAACACATGGCCCCAACAACATATAAAGTCTAGTCAACCCACCATAAAAAGCGAATACTAAGAGCATTTGTTAACCGTATAGTTCTACAGAATGAGGCTGTATACCAGATAGTGTACAAAACCTATCATCTAATCTCTCAAACCAGAAATTCAAAAAACAAGATCATTTTTTGTAGAATCCGAGATAAAAGGGTCAAGAATGGAATCAACATAAATTCATAACTTGTTACATGAACCCGTGGCAGTAAGTGAGGTCCGGACTGTATCCTACACAAAATTTTAAAAACACATTCTTGATTGCAATGATCATTATGATATGAAACGCATTAACCCTTCCTAAATGTTATCACATTATATAATTGAAAAAGATTTCCATCCAATTGTTCATAGACACGACAATTATACTCCTAATAAACATAATAATCTTAAAAAACACCAGCATTTATAAAATTAACCAAATCAATCCCTCTAATTTCAAAAACAATACCTGAAGCGGCGATAAAGCCGACAGGTAACCATCAAAAGCTGAAGTCGACGGCCAAACATCAGCAACAGAAGCGGCATCTTTATGCGTTCTCGGCAACAATTTCTTGTAAGACTGAATGTATAGAAACAATATCAGATCACGCAAATCGGCACCAGCCGAATCAACCTCATCGGACCGGGCTTTTACAAGCGGGTCGGAATCAGAGTGCAGAACCGAAGCGAGCGTGTCGAGAATCAGCCTCGCGTGGTCGGTGGAGATCTGGAGAGAGTCAGCGAGTAAGGAAGAGTTGACTCGGTTGTGAGTAGAGAGCTGTTGTTTGAGCTGTATTAGGGTTGGGGTCGGGTCAGGGAAGATTAGTTTGGGGATTGGTAAGAGTCCGTGCTCGAATGGCTCCCGGCGTGGGTGGATTAGGGAGCTTGGATTCGGGTTTGGAGTTGGAGTTGGAGCAGGAGCAGGAGCAGGATTTGTATTCGGGTCGGGCGTTGACGTTGTCTCTGTTGTCATGGTTTTCAAGAGAGTTAGAGAGAGAGAGAGAGAGAGAGAGATTAGTACCTTCTGTGTGTTTGGAGATCTTTGAGTAACGATGGATGGTGGTCCTGTGAGGGAAAGAAGGAGAGTGAGGGTTGCGGTTCAGTGCGGGTACATGCATGAGGAAAAGCTGCGTGGCGAGATTTTATTTGATCAATCTGACGCTAAGACAATCAGATTGTGACATGTCTAAGAGTTGTTATTTATTTAGTCTTTATTGAGCATTTAGTTTTTTCAGAATTTTTTTTTATTAGTGACTCTTTTTAAATTGTTATAATAAATAAAAGTGGCCATTTTTTTATGCAATGGAAAAGTTTTATCAGTGACTCCTTTTAAATTGCTGAAGATAAAAAGGTTATAACGAGTTACCAATTTCTAAGCCATCTTTTGACTATGGAGCTATTGTCTCTAGCACTTCCCATAAATTATTTGGACCCAAATCCAGGCCAGTCCTGTGATGTTAGACCTAAAACTAAAGCCTCGGGTCTGACAACATCAAGGATCTCTAGCTGGCTATGGTTCCATGCCCATAGAGGCTCCAGAGCCTTTGCGCACATCCATGGGTTTTTAGAACTTCTGGGTCAAGTCCAAGTGAGAACTTATGATCGGTTTGTGACTTCTAGGCCTAACCATACCCACCAACGAGACTATACAATACGTGCCTTAAATACGCTCAATTTCATATTAATGCTTTTTTACATCCCTCTATTTTTTTTAAGAGATTCCTTCACTATTTTTTATCTTAATATCATTTATATATGTTATTTTTTATTAATAACATTAAAAAATTTCACATGACATGTACATTTTAGTCCTTTTATTTTTTTAAAAAATCAATTTGGTCCCTGTGTCTTATATTTCTTAAAAAAATAAAATATGATATATTATTTTTTTCTTATTTATTTTAAAAAATAATTTCCCTTCTTTTAACCTGAAAAAATTGAGTCAAAAAAAGTAAAAAAAATTAAAAAATTATAAGAATATATAATATTACAGGAATGAATTATATCTCAAATTAATATATCAGTCTCAAAACTTTATAATAACTTTGTTTCATTGCATTCAATTTAATTTTTTATCATGATTCATATTATTACAATTTATTGAATTTTTATTTTTTATAATATGATGTATCTATAATTAATTTTTTGACAAGGTCTATAATTTAACATGTAAGAACTTGACTGAGAGATAATGTCAAGAGCTAGATTATATTTGCTGTAAAATACAACGAGAAAAAAATCAATTAAGACTTTTTTTGAAGGAAAAAACTAAGATATATGAACTAGGGTAAAAACAATTAAAAAGATTAGGGATCAAAATGTATATCAACAAAGATTTTATGTTATGGAAATATAACACATGTTAATTCTGAACGATATCAGTGCATCAGTTGATAAAAATGATACAATGAAAATGAAAATACAATATACAAATATGATATTAAAATAATAATAAAATAGATGGCAATGCATGTGTGGGCTTGCGAGCACTATAAAACAATAAAATGAACATGGCCCGCGGTGACCAGTTAACATCTCAGCAATAGACCAATGACCTGCAGACATAGGTCAAGTTCTTGCTAAGGTCACTATTCGATATCAAATTAACATGGAAAAAAGAAAAGAAAACTCATGAAAAAGACTCTGTAACAAAGATCGTCAATTATTGAATTATTGATAAGGAGAGAGAAGATTGTCAATTATTGAATTATTGATAAGGAGAGAGAAGATTGTCAATTATTGAATTATTGATAAGGAGAGAGAAGATTGTCAATTATTGAATTATTGATAAGGAGAGAGAAGATTGTCAATTATTGAATTATTGATAAGGAGAGAGATGATTGTCAATTATCGATATGGAGAGAGTTAAATTATTTTTTAGGTTAACCTGGATATTTACATCAGTTATCGTATATTATAATTAATTCTACGAGTTTTAAAATTAATAATTATATAAGTTTTTAATAATTATCATATAAACAATTAAAAACAACGATCATCATGTAAGCAACTAAAAACTCGAATATAAAATTATAAATAGAGCAAATCTCCATTTAGATGGTCGGAAAGGTCAATTATTGACAGGGAAAGAAATTAATGGAATAATTTAGGAATGTTTATTTTTGTATTTTAAAGGTATTTAAAAAAATATTTTTTTTTATTAATTTTAAATTGATATATTTTTATTTTATTTTAATATATTAATATTAATTGGTTGTTGAGCACACCACGCCTTTGTATCTGCCTTCCATTACAGATATGTCTCGACAAAATATGGTGGTTTCTGTGAGTCAATCATGGAAAGGGCATCATCGTCGAGTATTTTTAACGCCACTTTCCATGCAAGTCTCCATCTATCTCACTGCATTTTGAAGTTTTTGGTGCCGGGAGTGTCAGAGGATAAGCGGACCGACTGCGTTCGTGATTTTTTACTCCGCGTACAAAACTTTACTCCTGTAATATTGTTAATATTTTTTTTATCTTAAGATATTGTTTATTTTAAATTAATTTTTTATATATATTTTTTTAAATTATTTTGATGTGCTAATATTAAAATTAATTTTTTAAAAAAATATTACTCTAATATATTTTTAAATAAAAACCATTTTAAAAACAACCATTATTATAAAATCATGCAGCTACCGGAAAAAAAAACATATACTGTTTTCTTTGTTTTGCATTGGATTAAGTTTCATTGCTTTTTAATAAGTTTTAACGTTTTTTTTTAATCTTTTTTTGTCTTAGAGTTTCGGGAGAGTTTTTTACAGCTCACAGGAATTTATCTTGTTCTAGTTTATTTTCATATATTAAAAATTAATCTAAGTCTGATCCTATAAAATATTATTATTTATGTTAAATACTTTATCTTTGGTCAATTTCATAATAAATGTAGGATTTTTTTTATAAATTATTTTTTCTTTAAATTTTTTTACTTTCTTTTCCATAAAATTATTTGGATGTTATGCATAAGAATGAATATTTGATAGGTTCAATTTATTTATTGTTGATTTTTTAATCATATTATTCATTTAATTAAGTTTATTAAACACAGTTAATTATTTAAATCTCAATGTTTTGCTCATCATTTTTTTTTACGTTAGAAAGTAAGTGGCCGGAACCCTGCTGCGTGGCGGGGACCCCCATTCCCGTTAGCAGCCAGGGTGCAACGGGATCCCGCCAAGAAACCAGCCGAGCCAGGGTGCAACTGGATCCCGCCAAGAAACCAGCCGAACTAACAACGTCCTCTCAGCAGTATAAAATACCTAGCTCACAGATCTAAGAAAACACACCAGGCAAAACTCCAAAACCATGGCTCCGCTGTAGGGAAGCTTTAATTTGTCTTGCGTTCTTGCAAAGCCAACTGTACTCTCTGTACCATCATCCCCTGTGACAAATGGACATTTTAGAGAGATGCTCTTGCTTGTAATGCCGGCTGCGGTGATCCTTCGAGCAACGGAATCTCTCTCTTGGTGAGCATGAAAGACACCTGTGAATAAAAAGCACAAGCCAACCACTGCATTACTCGTCCTTTTGCCCTCGTACGGCTTTAATATATTGCTAACACCTTCAACCGCACGTGTTTACCATGAAACCTACCTCAATGAAGGACACGTAAACCCTGGACATTCTTTGAAATTACAGTGCTGTACTGTGACCTTAGAACACACGTCGGGGATGTCTGTATCTTACTTCAGACGCAAGTTAACTTTTGAAAATACCTTTTTTTTTGTTCCATGATTAGAACACAGTATTTCACATTTAATATTAAAAACTAATATAAATAACAACTTGGAATTTTATTAAACAATTTGAGTTTCTGAATTTAACATGTTGTCTAGCAATTAACTCTCTAAATTTTTTTGATAAATAAAATAAATTCAGGCTACACATGTATTTTTAATAATCTCGATTTTTTCTTACATTGAAAAACCACAACGTAGGAGCAGGGCAACAATCTAGTGCTGTTGCTATAGCATTATAAAACCGACACCTATCATTATCTTAAAATCGAGTCCAAGATTATTTGACTGAGACCTTGTCGAAACGTAATGGAAGTAGATGTATTGTCGTTTTCTAACACTTAAAATTGTTTTTTTAATTTTTATCACCGAGCCAAGCCTCCCTGGACAAGTTAAAAAACCCAATTAAAAAAAGGCCCAAGTCCACGCAATTACTTGTAATCCTAACTCTAATCCACGCTTAACGAACTAACACTAAAAATACCAAAAGAAAGCCGCACCCTCCCGAAATATCATTTTCACCACCTCAACCAACATGAAAAGAATCCAATGACAAAACAGAAAAGACTCTTTGCCTACCAGGTTTCCATGCCGCTACTATCAGATTCACCCACCAAAAAAAAACACACCACAACGCTCCTAAGAAGAACGGTCACTACACGCGCGAGCCCCTACCGCTGTTATTTACACGCCCCCCCTCTCTGTTCGCAAACAGAGACAAGGCAACAGAGAGCCGAAACGAGAGAGAGGGCAAAAGAGAGAGAGAGAGTATGTTCTGTGTGTATTCTCGCAGATTCATTAAAGAGAAAAAGCAAATACTCCTGCTAAAATTAAAACTAAAATAAAATAAAACAAAAGGCAAAAGCACTATTGAGACTCCTCCGCTCTCTCTAGAGTTATCTTCTCTTCTTCATTCTTATCTCTTCCCGGTTTATGTAGATGAGGGAGCGCTAGGGATCTTTTTCTAGATCTTCTTCCTCATGTTTTTCGAGGTATGCTAGGAGCAATCCTTTTTTTCGCATTTTAGTTTCTTACAATTTTTTATTTTATTTTGCTCTGGTTTATGTTGTTAGCCTGGTTTTCAAAGTTGTAGTGGTAAAAAAAAAATAAAATTCCGTGACCTACTTTGCTTATTCATTACTTTTATTTTCTGTGAAAATAAGATAAAAAAGTGAAGGACAGCCTGAAAAATCTTAACTCTATTCAAGCTGTGTTAGAACCCATTTTCTTCTTGTTAACTTTCTGAGAAACCAAACAAGAGTTTTTGAGTGTGCTTTTTTATTAAGTTGATGAAAAGGAATTTTTTTTTAAAAAAATCAGTGATAGTAAACGGTTTATTTTCTTGGATATTTCTACATTTTCTGAGCAACCAAGCGAAAAAAG